AGAAGATGGCTATGGGAGCAACAGGCAAATGCAGCATTGTGAGTGGCATCATTAGCAAGAGAAACGGGAATGGGGGCTGATGCAATAAGAGACAAGGTTGGCTAAGCCAGGCAGAATTCCTTTCTGACCACACAAGCACATTTTAAAGATCCAACGTTACAGCATTTAGTTTTTAACTCATTCCTGTTAACAAGATGAAATTAATAATATACAAGTGGTTTTATACAAACACACCTATGCTGTAGAGGAGCCCATGTGCAGCTGTATATAATGGAAGACATGAGATAGCTAGTACAAATGTCACTTATTCAGGGCCACTTTCCCTTTACTGATGGAAAAAACTTGTTTCAATGGATAGTGTCTATAGAGTGGATCTTATTGCAGTATAGTACCGTATGACTACTTTCTGGACGTTTATGTTGCTCTATGACAGGAGCCAAAATTGACCAGACTGCGAAAAGTGGCTGTTATTTATCCTTTGGCATACAACAAAATGCATGACTTAGAGACCATTGCATTATATTTCATTTTTAAAATTTGTCTAGAGCAGAGAGTCTCAAAGTTCATCACCTCAAGGCCCTCTGACCCTGGGCAGTGATACTCAGATTTCAGCTTTGGCCCTGTGCTCCAGCAAGTCTAAGCCAACCCTGCTGATGCCATTAAAACCGAGCTGCGATCCACTTTAGGGTCCCCACCCACAGTTTGAGAACAGCTGATGAAGAGCCTTGGTGCCAGCATTCTGGGGAAGGGTAAGACGATGCCACAATAAAACAAATAATAATCAGCATTAATGTAAACAATTGGTGTTTCTGCAGCAGAATGAAACTTCTGGCCTTAAGAGATGGGTGTAAGCAGCCAGGCGAGAAAGAGAAGGCAGGAAGAATAAGGGAAAGATAAACAAGAACCTATCCCAGCACACTGCAGACTTCCTCTATTAGGTAAGAGCACTTGTGTTATATAAGCTCTCAGTTCTTCTGAGGCTTGTCAGCTGCAAATTTGCATTAGTCTATGACTTTACAGCCCCAGTACGCACATGTCCTGTGGACTGAAACATGGTGCTCAAGGCACCTCTGTCCAGAAGTAAGTGTCTGTGTGCATCACATTTAAAATACATTAGGGCACAGTGGCTAGAAACAGATTTTTTTATGTTGTTAGACAGTTTAACTTGCTTTTCAAAGTGCACTTCTGGGTGATTCTTAATCCAGTTTCTATAATCACACTAGACTGTCTTCATTTCTGAACCTCAGGAATGTGTGGGAAGCCCAGCCTGCTCATCCTGTCACTCATTTGTACTAAACACATGGAAAATGAATGTTTCCTTTTTACAAAGCAGCATTAATCCTAAGTGACTCATAGATGATATCCCTATGCTGCCATTCACTAATAGGACTATTCTGCCTCAAGTAGTGGAAGCACGCTGTATTAGTGTCACACCTACACAAGGATTCTCTGGGGCACACTGAGCTGTGATTAGTTAATTGGTTATTCATCTTTCGATACTGACCTACACAGCAGGCCATATTTATTTCAAATTCTAGTTTTTTATTTTAATAGTTGCAGAAACTTGCAGCATGTTATTACACTGGCGAATGTCATCTCTAAGGCTTTGTCTACACGGCAAGTTTTTGTGGCAGAAAATATACTAATGAGGGACTCATTAGCATGAGGCACGATGTCATTAGCATATTTTCTGCCAATTCTTTTTGTGCAAGGGGTTTTTGCACAAAAAGAAGCAATGAAGCCACTTCCATTTTGCGCAAAAAAACCTGGGAGAGGCATAAGGATCTTGCACAAAAGGGGGTTTTTTGCACAAAACGGAAGCGGCTACACTGCTTCTTTTTGTGCAAAAACCCCTTGCGCAAAAAGAATTGGCAGAAAATATGCTAATGACATCACGACTCATCCTAATGAATCCCTCATTAACATATTTTCTGCTGCAAAAACTTGCAGTGTAGACATAGCCAAACAGTATTTGAGATTTGGAAAGGCTGGACCCTCAAAATGCTTGGAACTGCGTCCTAGAAAGCTGTATGGGTTTGCAGCTGACAGGATTTCGTTACTTGGTTGGGATTTTTTTAAATTTAACAATAAAAACAAAATTGTAAAAAGGCTGCAATCTAGTGTAATGAGTTGTGCCTGAATGTTTATATGGCTGGGTTTGTCTGATTAGTGAGGTCTGTTAGGTCTGGGCAGTGTTTAATAAATAACAGAGGAATTCTTCTTGCAGCATGAAGTGCACATGGTTTAGAAATGTCCTGAAGCATCTTCAAATTAAAGCCATATTTCTTCTATTATTTATTTAATATTTTAGAATGTGAAGGAATAACAAATTTATTAGGGTATATAAGCTTTTGTGAGATACAAAAAGAAATGTAAAAGATTTTTTTTCTCTTCAAGCATCTGGAGAACTGAGATGTATCTCACAAAAGCTTATGCCCTAATAAATGTGTTAGTCTTTAGCATGCCACTGGACTCCTTGTTCTTTTTGTGGAAACAGACTAATAAGGCTACCCCTCCACAATGTGCTTTGTTATGTAGATTAATTTCACTTTACACAGATTCCATCCTCTCAGATACTAGGAAAGGTCTCTGAAATGTGAACACATCTATGAAATGTAGAACGCAGACATCACACACTTTGAAAAACATCCAGGCTTTGTCCTTGTTTTTATAAATACTGGGGTTGAATATGATCTTTAATTATTAGCATGCCAAAAGAGAATTTGGGGCTATTGGGGAGTGGTATAATCTATTTGACATATCTCTGCGTATTATTCATTAGTTGAAATTATGAAAGTAGTGAATGAAGTACAGGTACATGGAAACCTAAAAGTGGCCCAAAAAATTCAACGATAATGCTATCTTCCTACTGTCGTTGCTGAAAATCTGAATTACGGTTAATAAATGCAGAATCTTTATTATATTGTGATTCGAACTCTGATGAAGGTTGGAGTGCCGAATGGAGGGCACAAGAAGTCACAAAATAAGCGCTTTGTGAAATAGCTGACACAGATGATTACTGGCTTCAATCTTCTGCAAGGCTTATGTACAACCCGAAACTACCATGGCAGATTTGGATACTTGCTGCAGAAATGGAAAGTTAAAAACTCTCCAGGATGTGACTGAGGTCACCCAGAACAGGCTGTGGAACAGATAACAATTCAAATACGAAGGAGGCATCACAGCAGTACACTCTGCTACTGCAGATGCAGTTATCTGGCTTAACCATCTATGTGTAAAATTACAGGACTTACTGTACATCAACTGTGTAAAGAAGAATTTGTTATACTGTAATGATGATTTTGCTGTATTTACTGCCTAGCAAGTGTATGTAGCTTTTTGTCAACTGCCCAGTACAAGTGATGAAATAGAACATATTTTTTTAAAGTGGCAGGATATGTCTGTTCCAAATCATGAACTTGGTTTTCTTTCATTATTTCCATTTTTGTACTCTGCCTTCTATCCTGTCTTCCATTTTGTGTTTGTGTTGAATAAATAAAGCAATCTGACTTGGAGAAGGTTATTTTCTTCCAGACACATTATCCTGCTTAAGTATTTGTGGAACACCTCAGAGAGGACTACCAAGATACGTCGTAAGTGTCATCACCTTTAGTGACTCTCACTGACAGGCGGCTCTCATGGGACAATATTAATTTTCAGGTGTGGCTTGTGTGGCTGAGGTTAGAATTTTCCAGTCTGGGTAAATAGCACAAAGGGTCAAAAACTGGAATAAAAAGGGGGATTATTGGAGAAGGGGGGCCATCCATCACCACAAGCCAAAAAAGCAGGCTGAAGAGAGAAAGCAGGAAGGTCTTCCTTGTCTGAAATGCTGACCAGATTTCCAAGTCAGATGGTAAAATCAGACTAAGGGTGGACACCGCTCAGTACTATTCATTACTTTGCAAAGAACTAACTCTCTGGTGGTTTCTTTAGCATAAAAATGACTGTGGTTAAGGAATTCCTTGCTGGGTTGTCATATTATCCCTAAAAGTGTTAATCAAGAAGCTAAGGCTATGTCTACACTGAAGGCTTTTTGTGCAAGAACAAGTGTTCTTGCACAAAAACTTGCGTAGCGGCTACACTGCATGCGCATTCTTGCGCAAGTAAATCGGAGGACTTATTGCGCAGGAGTTATTACTCTTCCCATGAGGAATAAGCCCTCTTGAGCAAGAGCTCTTGTGCAAGAAGGCAGTGTGGATGGACAACAGGGGTTTCTTGAGCAAGAAACCCCAATGGCTAAAATGGCCATCAGAACTTTCTTGCACAAGAGAGCATCAACACTGTCATGGATGCTCTTGTGCAAAAGCACATCTCTTGCCAAAAGCACATGGCAGTGTTGACGCACTCACATAGAAATTCTTGCGCAAAACAGTTCTTGTGCAAAAAGCCTGCAGTGTAGACATAGCCTAAGAGTGTACACAGTGAAGGACTCTAAGGGAATATATATAAGCACCTAGAGGCTCAGGAGGTCTGAATCACTGATTTCAGGGTCTCAGATGGCTGGTCTTTGGAGCCTCATGTCCCAACAAGGTGTGGCAGACATGGGTCCTGGAGTGTGCTTCCGGGATCCAGAGCTAGGAGCAGTGACATGGCTCTGCCCACCAGTAGCTAGAGCCATTCATGCCAGACTGGTGTCCCTCAAAGGGCAGAGTGGACTAGTTTGTGACAAAGATCACTTTATATTTCAAGTCCAATTGCATAAAAAACATGGGTTTTGTTACTCTTAATGAAACTATTGATGACATTATATTTGTACTCATTCAACTTTTACGCTGATCTCTCAAATTTTTGCCTAGGAAGCAATATCTTACTTGGTAATATTTTTGCAGTACAGCATCTTAAGAATCCGGAGTTGTGTACATCCTTTCCAAAGGTATTTTAGTGTTTTGTCAGTAAGATGTACACAGCCTGAGATATCCAAGAAGTGGAGATAATGGCAGACTCCAGACAAATACTGAATACATAAATCCGTCATCTGTAAATCCAGCAAAAGAAATACACATATAGAAGTTAGAAGATTCCTAGAGACTCCAAAGAAAAAATAAAACACAGCACCTGAAAAGAGAAGTTACTCACCTTGTACAGTAACTGGTGGCCTATCTAATAAGTATCCAATTAACTAACAATGACACTAAGAGTAGGGCTGGACTGAGGGGTGGACGAGCCGGGCAGCTACCCAGGGCGCTAACCGATGGGGGGCACCTAACGGCAGCTGTAAAGAGCATGTGGCGTCCCTTGTAGCTGCCAGCAGGCTCCTGCAGCACCGGCGCCGGCCAGCAGCACCCTTCCCCCCACGGCTGTGGGACCCTGCATGGCCCGGCATGCGTGCCAGCAGCAGTGGCCAGGCCGGGCAGCTCATGTGCCGCGCGCCCCGGGGGCAGGCCCCAGGCTGCGTGCCAGCGGCTGTGCCCGGCCTGTGCATGTGCCGTGTGCCCTGGGGTGGACCTGCGCATGTGCCGAGGGCCCCC